GCTTGTGTTCACCTATCAGAGGTTAACTCAGAGACCTCAGGTGTCTGCCCCCTACCCTGCAGTCTCATTCAGAGTCCTCTGTTATATTCCTGCAGGACTGGTGAGCGACCTTCCTTGCAGTTATTGGTTTGTAATTACGTTTGCATGATTTTATATCCACCTCTTCTAGATGATCTTAAGGCTCCTTGAGAAACGAGGTCCTACCTCTTTTCCTTAACATGTGTGTTTTCAGTACTGGTGCAATGTATGAGACTCCTGGCTACAGACAGACACAATGTGTGCTCAGCGATGGTTTGATTTGCCAGAGGCACACCCCACCATCACTTCAAACTCGACCACACTAAAGTTATTTTGCACAGATGCAGACACTGCCCCAGACTTGTCTACTTTCTGAACAACATTAGAGACTTTAATGTACTTTATCCTGATTCAGTCTCCTATTGGATGAAGTAACATACTCTGTCAAATCATTTTGCTCCTGTCTCAGCCTCCCCCATCTGACAGGTACAGCACTGAGAGGCTAAGCTTGAATTACTCCTTCTGATGAGCATCTCTATAGCTTTGTCGTCTCCAAGATTGGCTTTGCAACAATCCTACAACACTTGTGTATTCCTTACAGGACCCTCATTGAACCAGGCCAGATATTTATTTAAATATTTAGAATTATTTTTGGCTGGGCTGTAAACCTATAGTTATACACACCTATGCAGGCATCTTCCCGTGTCAGGTGGTGTCTCATTTCTTTATCTAGAGGTAATTAGTGCAAGAGAAAAAAATGAAGTTTGGAAAAAAACACTTAAAAAGTGATTATGCCATATAAAGAGGGAAAGGTTTTTAAGAAACGATTATGGTATGAGAGGACTATGGATAGCTCAGTATACAATGAAGGGGCTCAGAGGGTGGAAGGCGGGCGAGGGATGAGAGATCACCGAATGAGAACAATGTACACGATTACAGCGAGGCCTGCACTAACGCCTAGACTTTATGCAGTGTATCCATGTAACAAAACTGCAGTGGTACCTCAGAAATCTGCACAAAATCTACATAATAATGATGGAGGCCGGGCGCGGTGGCTCAC